GTCTGCAGGAAAACAATGAAGTTCAGAGGCCCCCCACAAGCTGCTGGTTTTCAGATGTTTGGGGTGGCAAAACCCACAATCCCTTGCCACTGACCAGGACACTTGGCAGGACTCTTGGAAATGGACAGGAAAAATATCCAGAGAGTCCCAGGCTTCCTCCACCTGGGTTTTAGTATCCGACTCAAATTGGAAACAGGAGCTTCTTTAGGCCCCAAAACTTACCTAGCGATCTTGGGCCAGTCATTTTCTCCTGACTGAGGTTCTCTCTTGTGCTGATTACGAGGGCTAAAAATGAAGGAATGGGGCGGAGAATTGTCAATACTGCCCCTAATTTTTTGGGGGTGGGTGGGTGGGGGGAATGAAATCAGATTTTAAGGAATGAAAATAAAGACGGACCACTTCACAACTATGACCAACGTGGGATCCAATCCGGCTCCAGATCAAGCTCACAGTTAAGACATATCTGTTTTTGTTTTTTTGTTTTAAAAAAATTAAAGTCTTAATTCTTTACCTAGACAACAGGCACCACTTTTTGACAGATTCTTCACCATTCATGCAGACATCAACAACCATAAAAAGGCTTATTTCCCCAGACAATCCTTTTTTTTTTCCCCCCACAGAACAAAAACACAAAGCGGAATCCGAAAAAAATAGAATGCAACTTTGGGGTTTCTAAGCCTTACACGTAACAAGATTCCTTTGCCTTCTTCCCACCCCCCCATCGATTTTGGCAAGTTGCAGATCCCCTAACTTGGAGCTTTAGTGCATTTATTATTTTCTTCTTCCCCCACTCCTTAATCTTTAATGCAGATTTTACTCAAGAGTTGAAGGGAGGGAAGGAAGTTTCCATTTTATAAAACGACAGAAAGTAAGGTGCGTAAAAGAGACAACCGTCGGGCCCATCATTACTGCCTCAACCAGCAAAACCAGATCCGCAACACAGTGTCGTGTTGCTGTTTATGTCTTCAATTTCTTCCTTGTTGTACGACTTTTATTATTTTTAAAACGTGTACTTCCAGCTTTCCCCAGCCTAACAAGGGGAAATTGAAGTAATATCTGTGGAAAGCAAAATGGTCCCTGAAGCTCAAGATTTCAAATTAAATTGCATTCAGATAGGGTTTTGTCTGTTTGCGTGGATGTATATGTGTGTGAGTACACGCGCACATATACATGCACAATCACACGCAGTTATGTATATACATAAATAGTAAATTAAGGCCATTTTGTAAAACTACTTACAATTTATCAATACACAAGTTTTCCTATGTACATGTGTAAGTCTAAAAAATGAGAGAAAGAAAATAACCATTTATATTCTCCGTGTAAAAAAATCCAGCTCAAGAATCGATGAATCTTTCCCTAAATTGGATTCTGCATTTTGCCTACCCATTGCCCCCCAAAATTACAGGTCAAAGTTCAAAGGAAATTTTGGCATGCTGATGAAATAAGACAAGAGATCTGACTGTACCCAATGTTAACTGTGTTGCAGGAAACTCGAGAATTGCAAAAACTGCCTGCTTAGTACCTAGTACCTTAGTACCTTAAAGCAGGGACACAGCCTTTTCTGATGGGTTTCCTCTGAGAAACAGCCAGAACAAATCTGAAATAAGCAGACCGCTAGGCTGTATTAGAGGCGCTCAAACTGAAATACTGACACAGGTTATGAAATGGGAGAGAGCATTTTTTCAAAATTTAGAGGATGGGGTGGAGGGAGGGGGAGAAGAACACATCACAGCAAAAAACGTTACACAAAGAACCCACAACACTTTTTTCTAAAACAAAAAAAAACCAAAAAAAAAAACACAAAACAAACCCATCTTTTTAGTGCAAAAATTATAAACTGACCATGGCACAAACGAAACGTAACTGAATAACGCATTCAGAATAGATTATCCCTGCTACCTGCACCTGTTTGTATACACACAAGGGTCCAGCTATAACTCATTGGGGGAGGAGAAAGAGTCTGAATATAGGGGGAGCAAAGAACAGTAAGAGTTATCTGGAGGTGGGTGGGTGGGTGAGTGAGAGAGAGAGAGAGAAAGCAGGTGGTGGTGGTGACCAGGATCAAATCTTAGATTCAGGGCAAATTGTGTGTGTGTGTGGGGGGGGGTGTTCAGTATGGGGACCAGCCATCCAGCTTTGGCCAGAAAGAGGCTTCTTCAAAGCTAGAGAATACAGAATGACAGAATTGGCAGGATCCCAAGCAGGAGACCCTATACCAGGGGTAGGCAACCTTGACTCTTTTATGACTCGTGGACTTCAACTCCCAGAATTCCTGAGCCAGCTATGCTGAGCTATGCTGGCTCAGGAATTCTGGGAGTTGAAGTCCACGAGTCATAAAAGAGCCAAGGTTGCCTACCCCTGCCCTATACAGGCAGTTCTTGACTTACAACCATCATTGAGCCCAACATTTCTGTTGTTAAACGAGACAGTGGTTAAGTGAGGTTTGCCCCCATTTTACGAACTTTCTTGCCATATTACCGTTGAATGAATCACCGCAATTGTTAAGTCAGTAATATGGCCGTTAAGCAAATCTTTTAGGCTTCCCCCATTGACCTTGCTGGTCAGAAAATCACCCTGGGACACGGCAACCATCACAAGTCAGTTGCCCAGCCTCCAAACTTTGATCGTGTGACCATGGGAATGCTGCAGCAGTGGTGAGTCACTTTTTTGGGGGGTGCTGTTGTAACTTCGAATGGTCACTAAACGAACTGCTGTAAGTCGAGGACTCCCTGTACCACTCCAGACAAATGGCTGCACATCCAAACAACCTTGTCCCAGAGAGTAAGAATTACCTAAAGCAGAGGTCCCCAAACTTTTGGGCACCAGGGACCGGTTACATGACGAGAGGTTTTTCCGCGGACCGGTGGGGGTGTGGTTTTGTGTGCTGCCTGCATCCCACGAATGGGGCTTTGCTTGTTTGTGCGGACCGGTTGCTGGCATGCCGCAACCCAGTACTGATCCACAGACTGGGAGTTGGGGACCTCTGACCTAAAGGATCTCTCAGGGTGCGGTGTTAGGAGGAGCATTCGGCCACAGGGCCATTCCAGAACCAATGGGGATGAACGTTCAAAGCAAAACAGATCCTAGATCAGGAGAAGCTGTTTAATAACATTTTTATCGACCCCCTGAGTAAAAAAAAAAAAAAAAAAAAGAGAGAGAGAACTTTTCCGGGTTCTGCAGTTTTCAAGGTGGCAGGGCTACAAATTTTCCCCTCTTGTCTGAACGCATCCACGTAAAATTATTTATTAAAATTTGTACGCCGACTCTCTCACTCTGCTTTTGTCCAACTGCATTTGAAGCAAACGCTCCTTTGCTACACAACGCTTCCGTGAAGAGGGCAACACCAGGCTATTTTGCAGAGCCCAGAATTAGCAGAAGCATTGCTGACCTACTGGGACTGTGGTTTATGGCAGGGGGGATCCAGCCTTGGAAACTCTGCGGCCTTCAAATCCCAGCATTCCACAGCCAGCCCGTGCCTGCCGAGGAATTCTGGGAGTTGACGTCCACAAGTTGTAAAGTTGCTACGTTTGGAGACCCCTTGGTTTACTGAATCCACCCACTAGGCAGATAAATCCCAGGTTGGTTAGCCTGATGAATGCCACAACCTGAACATGTCAGGGCCTCTTTGTATGGGTGAAGCCACTTTATAGGATTCCCATCTAATCCATTTGAAGCACAAAGATAACCAGACCCTGGTTCGGCCAGAGGCAGATTATTTCACGCACAAGAGAAAGGCGGGGTGTTTTTTTTTTTTGTCTGTGTGTGTGTGTTTTAATATATGCAGAACAAGAACTACTCCTTCCCAAGCAGAAGAGGGGGGGAAGGGGAGGAGAGATCGCTGCCTTAAAAAAAAGTTATTAAAAACAAACAAAAAAAAAACCTGCAGGAGACGATCCCAGATCTCATCCCTTCGGACAAATTGCAGAATTTCCACGTATAATTAGAAAAAAACGTTTG